CCTTCAGTCCATGGTCTGACATTCCAATCCACTGAGCCAAACTGGCTAGGGCTGAGTCTATTTTTTTAAAATATGTTTTTATTGATTTCAGAGAGGGGTAAGGAGAAGGAGAGAGAGAGAGAAACTTCAATGATGAGAGAGAATCATTGCTCCGCTGCCTCCTGCACGCCTCTCATTGGAATCGAGCACACAACCTGGGCATGTGCCCTGACGGAACCAAAGGCCGATGCTCAACCACTGAGCCACACAAGCCGGGCAATTTGTGTCCATTTCTATCCTTCCTATAAAGGTAAGCACAGTGGCCGAAGCCGGTTTGGCTCAGTGGATAGACCCGCATATGTGTCAAACACAAGGCCCGCGGGCCAAATCCGTCCCGCCAGGCCTTGCAATGTGGCCCGCACCTCGCTGTCATCACTGCACTCCGCTGCGTTTCCATCACAATGACAGTTTATGACTGTTCAGTAAACCATTCGGCCCACGATTTAGGCTGGATTTTAGATTTTGGCCCCTTCTCTGATTGAGTTCGACACCCCTAGGATAGAGCGTCGGCCTGCGGACCGAAAGGTTGTGGGTTCGATTCTGGTCAAGGGCATGTACCATGGTTGTGGGTACATCCCCGGTAGGAGGTGTGTGAGAGGCAGCTGATCAATGATTCTCTCTCATCGATGTTTCTAACTCTATCCCTCTCTCTTCCTCTCTGTGAAAAATCAATAAAATGTATTTTTTTTTAAAGTAAGCACAGTGGGATAATAAAGGACATTATAAACTGATGAACAAAAAGATAGATACAGAGACAGTAAAGCAACAAACAGATTGTCAAATTACAGCAGGGTGGGGAGGGAGATATGGGGGAGATAAGAGATCAACCGAAGGACTTGTATGCATGCATATAAGCATAACCAATGGACGCAAAACTCTGGGGAGGGAGGGAGTGGGGTGGGAGGGCAATGGTAAGATATGTACACATATAATACCTTAATAAAAAAATGGGGGGGAGTAAGCACAGTGGTCACTTTTGGAGGGAGCAAGGGGGCTGTGATTGGGATGGCACAGATGGAAACCTCCGGGTGGCTGAAGATCTGTTCCTTAGTACAAGCGGTGACTGCAAGAGCGTTTGTCTTATAATGTATTTGCTTTACAGTGGTTTCCAGCTGCTGGGTTTTACCTTATAATAAAAATATTTTTACTGTTATGTCCCCTGAATGAATGATGGGTGGATCTAGGCATTGCGTGGCTAACATCAAAAAAGAGAGACAGACAGACCCTGTGCCCCCAAGGGGAGTACACGCCTCCACGTGTGAAACAGTCTTGCCCCAAATCACACCTCAACCTGGACCCGCCAGGTCCAGCTTCAGTGGAAAGGACAGAGCAGTGCCTTAAGTGGCGTCACAGGGACAGGAATAACCAGCCCTCTCCGGCTGGAGGAGACTGCAGGACGATGGGGGAGCGGAGAGGACGTGCCGCCAGCGTGTCGATTAAAACAGGCTAAAAGACACGTCCGCCCATCACTGTATGTGGACTCTCTGCGACTCCTGCTTTTAAACAAACAGATGGTAAGCAAACATTTCTAACATTTTAAACAGTTGGAGATTTGAACACCGATGGAGTATTTGATGGTGTCACAAACTCTTGTTAATGGCCCTGGCAGTTGGCTCAGCTGGTTAGAGCATCGTCCCAATATGCAAGGTTGTGGGTTCGATCCCCAGCCAGGGCACATAGAGTGAACAACAAATTGATGCCTCTCTCTTTCTCTCTCCCTTCCTCTCGCTCTAATATTATAAATAAAACATTTTTTAAAAATCTTGTTAATGGAGCCCTAGCTGGTTTTCTCAGTGGTTAGAGCGTTGGCCTAAGGACTAAAGGGTCTCTTTTGATTTCGGTCAAGGGCACGTACCTGAGTTACAGGCTGGATCCAGGGTCAGGTGGGTGCAGGAGGCAACCAATCAATGTGTCTCTCTCACACCGTGTCTTTCTCTCTGTCTCTACCCCTCCCTTCCACTCTCTCTAAAATCAGTGGGAAAAATATCCTCAGTTGAAGGTTAACAACAACAAAAAATCTTGTTAATGAATATGGGTGTAGAGGAAACAAGATTGGCCACTAATTTATAATTCTTGAATCTTCTTATACCATTTACTATTTTCCATACTTCGTTTTTGCTTCTTTAAAAACAGCTTTATGGGGTATAATTTACAGATTGAAAAATTCACCAGTTGTAAGTGTGCAATGTAATAACATTTCTGTAAATTTGTATGTGCAACAATCATCCATACAATCCAGATTTAGAACATTTCTGTCACGCTTAGAAAGTTTCATTGAGCCCATTCCCATCCCAGCTGGTACTGGTTTGCTTTCTGCCTCTCTAAATACATATGTCTTTTCTGGACATTTACACTAAACTAGAGGCCCGGTGCATGACATTCAGGCACTGGGGGATGGGGTCCCTCAGCCCAGCCTGCGCCCTCTTCCCGTCAGGGACCCTTGGGGGACGTCCGCCATGGTGAGCAGTGCCCTCCCACAGGGGAGCGCCGCTCAGCCAGAGCCTGGCTCACAGCTGGCGAGCACTCCGACCTCCAAGGGAGTGCTAAGGAGCAGCAAGCCCAGCTTCCGGCTGAGCAGCACGCCCCCTGTGGGAGCACTCTGACCACCAGGGGCAGCTCCTGCGTTGAGCGTCTGTCCCCAGGTGTTCAGTGCAGGTCATAGCAACCAGTTGTTCTGCCATTTGGTCGATTTGCATATTAGGGTCTTATTATATAGGACTAGAGGCCCAGTGCACAAAATTCAGCCCAGCCTGCACCCTCTCCAATCTGGGACACCTCGAGGATTACTGGCTCTCAACCACTCACCTGCCTGCCTTCCTGATTGCCTCTAACCATTTCTGCCTGGCAGCCTGATCACCCCCCTAACCATTCCCCTGCCAGTCTGATCAATGCCTAACTGCTCCTCTGCCAGCCAGATTGCCCCTAACTGCCCTCCCTTGCCAGCCTGGCCACCCTTAACTGTCCTCCCCTGTTGACCTAGTGGCCCCTAACTGTCCTCCCCTGCAGGCCTGGTTGCCCCCAACTACCCTCCCTGCTGGTCCAGTCACCCCTAACTGCCCTCCCTTGCCAGCCAGGTCGCCCTAACTGTCCTCCCCTGCAGGCCCAGTCACCTCTAACTGCCCTCACTTACCAGCCTGGTTGCCCCTAATTTCCCTCCCCTGCAGGCCTGGTCATCCCCAACTGCTCTCCCCTGCAGACCTAGTCCCTTCCAATTGCACTCCTCTGCAGGCCTGATCACCCCCAACTGCCCTCTCTTTGCAGGCCTGGTCCCTCCCAACTGCCCTCCCCTGCTGGCCATCATGTGGTGGCCATCTTGTGTCCACATGAGGGCAGCCATCTTTGACCACAGAGGGGCAGCCATCTTGTGTGTTGGAGTGATGGTCAATTTGCATATTAAGCTTTTATTACAATATATAGTATGGGATCACAGGACATGTTCTCTTCTGATATTCTCTGTTAACGTGCACTTGATATTTTCCATAATGAAAACAATTTTGTTGACTTGAATGATGACTTACGTTTGCATAGCATTTTGTGTTTTGTAAAGGGCTTTCATAAACCAGGTGAACCAGGCAGGATAACATTTGTCACCAATTTTACAGATGAGGAAACAGACTCAGAGGGCTTAGGGCACTTGATCCAAGTCACAGAGCTAATTAGTAACTAAACTAACTGTACTGAGATTCGATTCTGGCCTCCTGTCACCTGGAGATACTCTCTACCCCCCCCCCCCGCCCGCCCCCCCATCATGCTGCCTCACTAGACTGCTCACTGCCCCTGGCTCCCCATCCCATCACTAATGAAGGGAAGGAGGTTGCCCACCAAGCCATCTGGCACGTGAGGCGTCCTTCCTGAATGTGCATGTGTGAGGGTGCTGGTGGGCACTTTTGTCCCAGGGTTTATGTATCTGTGGCTGTGCCCAGAAATATCCTGACATCTCTCCACCTTTTCTTTGTGTCTTTGTATTTTATTTAAAACATTATTTTTTGTTATTTTATTTATTTATTTTAATATATTTTTATTGATGTCAGAGAGGAAGAGAGAGAGAGAAACATCAATGATGAGAGAGAATCATTGATTGGCTGCCTCTTGCAAACCCCACACTGGGATTGACCCTGCAGCTCGGGCATGTGCCCCAACCGGGAATTGAACTGTGACCTCCTGGTTCATAGGTCAACACTCAACCACTGAGCCTCGCCGGCCAGGCTAAAACATCATTATTATGAATAAAACATTCTTATTTTTACGCCTGCTCTGGGACCCCATACTTGGATATTTTAACCATTATCATTCAGAAGACATTCCAACGGTTTTCTCTGGTGAGTGAAATTGGGGTCGCAGGCTTCACTTCCCATTGCAAGCCCTTTATCCCATTTGGATTTTTTGTCCTATATTTGTGTTACTTTTATAATAAATCGAGGGGAACTCATTATTACTACCAGTGAGCAATGGTGTGTTTGCCTGTCTCCCTGAAGACTCTGCTTCCACCAGCTTCTTAGGAGTGAGCAGATTACAAAGAGCTGCCAAATGTAATTTACTTAATCCACTCTTTCACTCAACAATATGAATGCTTCCCATGTTCCCGGCAGCTGGGGATATAGCCGTGAACCAAAACAGATAAAGAGTCCTGCCTTCCTGCTAAAACCGATTTGGCTTAGTGGAGAGAGCGTGGGTCTGCGGATTGAAAGGTCCCAGGTTCGATTCCTGTCAAAAGCTTGTACATTGGTTGCGGGCACATCCCCAATAGGGGGTGTGCAAGAGGCAGCTAATCGATGATTCTCTCTCATCGATGTTTCTAGCTCTCTCTCCCTCTCCCTTCCTCTCTGTAAAAAATCAATAATATATATATATTAAAAACAAACAGTCCTGCCTTCCTGGAGCTTATATTCTACCAGGTGTGGAAAGATATACAACAAAATTAATAAATGACATGGTACATGGAAAAGGCAAGCCGGGGAGAGATGACGGAGGTGAGCGAGAGTGTTTGGGAGGTGGGGGTGGGGGTTACAGAGGTAAGAGAGTCACCGGATCAGGTGGGTCTGGTGGGCCACTGTGGGGTTTGGGGTTTTTTGTTTGTTTTAAAATATATTTTTATTGATTTCAGAGAGGAAGGGAGAGGGAGAGAGAGAAACAGTGATGAGAATCACGGGTCGGCTGCCTCCTGCACACCCCACACTGGGATCAAGCCCACGTGGCCTCCTGGTTCCTAAATCGTTGCTCAACCACAGAGCCCCGCCAGCTGGGCGGGATTTGGGATTTTACCCTAAGTGAGGAGGAAGGAAGCCATTGGAGGGTCTGAGCGGAGGGTCATGACCCAAGTGATGTGCTCACAGGGTCAGTCCGGCTGCGGAGTGGAGACCGGGCTGTGGCAGGGCAGTGGAGAGGCTGGAGGAGCCTGCTGAGGGGTAAGGGAAGTTCGGGGAGCATGGCTGCCCTGGGTTGGTGGGTGGGATCAGAATCTGGAAATCTTCACAAGGGAAAGCCGACAGGGGTTGCCGATGGGTTTGAGAGACTGGAGCCGGGAATAACTCTAAGGTTTGGGGCCTGAGGAGCTAGGAGGATGGAGCTGCTTTAGATTGGGGACATGGGACATTCGGGGGCAGCGGGGAGCCAAGTGGGTTTGGTGGGGAGGACCGAGGGTTCCCCGGGGACAAGTTAGAGGTGAGAAGCCCAGGAGGCGGCGGATTCCCCGCACATGCAACTCATCCTCTCAACTCCGCCCCATTTCACAGGTGTGGACACTTGCGCGGGGCCCCGCGGGTCACGTGGCCGCGGGCTAGCGCCCCCTGGCGGGGAAGGCGAGTGCAGGCGGCGCGGGGCCGGGCCTCCGGGCGTCGTGCTTCCGCGGGAGCGCCCGGGGCGGACGCGGGGACCAGGCGTTGTACGAGCGGATCGTGACCCGGCTGCGCGCTTCGGGCGGTGCTCACCGAGCACGTGGCGGACACGAAGCTGGGCGAGCGGGGTGAGGGGCCGGGACGGGGGCGCCCCTTTACCGAAACTGCCCTCGGGGGGCGGTGGCCGCTCGCGAACGGGGGCCCCAGCCAGCGCCCCCCCAAGAGGAAAGGGAGCCGGACTCAGACCGCGCGCAGCTGCGGTGCGCGCCCAGCCGCAGCGCTCATTGTGGCCTTTGGAGCGCTCCCTCCGGCTCTTTCCAGGGACGTTAGTGGGGAGGGAGGGAGGCAGAGCGGGCGCGGACGGGGCTGCCTGGTTTCCACGTCCCGCCGGTACCTTCTCCCACCGGAGACAAGGCTCCTCGTCCTCTTCCCTGCGCCCCCGCCCCCGCGCCAGCCCGCGCCCCCTCCGCTGCCCCCTCGCCCTGTGGTCGGGCCGGTGCTGCCCTGCTGCCGCCGCTGGGTTTTCTTCTCCCGGTTTTACTGAGCGGGAATGAACGTAAGTCTAAGGTGTACGGTGTATGGGCTCAACTTTCATTTGGGTGCAAGGATTAGCACAGTTTAGTTAACACCAGTCACCTCGAGAAAAAAGTTATTTTCCTTGTGTAAGAACTCCTAGGATCTCTCTTAAATTTGAAATAACCATACTATGGTCATTATGTACATTACTGCCCTAGTACGTATTTTACAACCGGAAGTTTATTAGTACCCTTTGACCATCTTTATCTAATTTCCCCATTTTCTGCCCCCACCTCTGGTAAGCACAAGTCTGTTTGTTTTGTTTTTTTGTTTTTGTGTGTGTGTGGGTTTTTTTTGCTAGGAGTTTTAGTTTTCTGTTTTTGGTGTGTGTGTGTGTGTGCTTGCACTAAGATTCCACATATAAGTGAGATCTCTGTCTGACTTATTTCACTTAGCATAAGGCCCTCCAAGTCCTTCCGTGTTTTTCCAAATGGCGCTTTCCTTCCTTCTCATGGCTGAATGATATTCCATTGTATATATAACCCCAACTTCTTTATCCATTTACCCACCGTAAGACACTATTTCCCAGGTCTTGACTATTGTAAGTAATGCTGCTCTGAGCATCACTCCCATAGTGTGTTCATCTCCTTCAGGTGTATTCCCCGGAGCGGGAAAGCACATGTACAGTGGTTTACATGGAAAACAATATAAGAACAGCTCTGTTTCACGTACTCACAACTGTAAACCTACTTTTGCCCCACCTGTATTTTGGATATTAACCCTTGTCAGTACATGGCTTGCAGATACCTTCTCTCATTCTGTGGGCTGTGTTTTTGTTTTGATTATTTCTTTTGCTGTACAGAAAGCGGCTTTTTAGTTTGATGTAGTCCCCCTTGCTTATTGTTTATTGTTTTGCTTATGCCTTAGATGTTATATTCAAAAAACCATTGCCAAGATCTAAGGTGGGTTTTTTAAAAATATATATTTTATTGATTTTTTACAGAGAGGAAGAAAGAGGGATATAGAATCAGAAACATTGGTAAGAGAGAATCATCGATCAGCTGCCTCTTGCACACCCCCTACTGGGGATGTGCCCACAACCAAGGTACATGCCCTTTAACCGGAATCGAACCTGGGACCTTTCAGTCCGCACGCTGACGCTCTATCCATTGAGCCAACTGGTTTCGGCGATCTAAGGTGTTTTTCTTCCGTGTTTTCATCTAGAAGTTTTATCATTTCTGGTCTTACCTTTACATTTTCAATCCATTTCCAGTTAATTTTTGTGAGTGGTGTAAAATAGGGGTCTAGTTTCATTTTGCTACATGTGAGTGCCGTTTTCCCAGCACCAGGTATGGGAGAGAGTCTTTTCTCCATTGAGTGTTCTTGGCTCCCTTGTCAAATGTTGGCTGAGTGCACACATGGGGCTTTATTCCTGGGCTCCGGATCCTGTTCCATTGGTGTTTGTTTTGATGCCAATACCACACTGTTCTGTTTCACTTTATAATATAGCTGGAAATCGGGAAGCATTACTCCGGGGCAGATACAGGATTTGTGGGACTTACTGCACTCCTAGGAGACCTCTTTAAAAAGACTTTAAAAAGAATTGCCGGGGATGTTGGAGAGGGCCTGTATGAGGGACCCTAAAGCTCATGCTTCATGTTCTCATGATATGTCCACCCCTGCCTGGTGGTTCTCAGGCTTTAGTGTGCTCAGCTGTCATCTCAGGGAGATTCTTCAAAAGGCAGATTCCCATAGGGGGATGAAGCCAAGCTCTTTTTAACAGGTTCTCCAGGGACTCTCTCCGGTGCAGGCAGCTGTGAGCCTTTCAGCCCTAACGAATGACATTTAATCAAGCCGAACACCGGGCTCCTTACCCTCTTTCCCCAGGATGCCTCTCCTACCTTGATTCCCCCCCAAAAAAACAAAAACAACAACAACAAAACAGGCCACTTTGCATTCAGGCAGTGGTTCTCAGATTTGGTGGAATGAAGCAGCTGGGCCCACTGGCACCTGGGTCTCTATAGTTTCTCAAGTTCTCAGGTGATTCTGGAACCCACCAAAGCTTGAGCCGCTGCATTAGGCTTTTGCCTGGCCTGCCTCCGGCCTTTCCCTGCATAGACCAGTCCTTACTCCTGCCTGCCATTTCCCCACCCAGATGCTCTTCCTCCTTCCCTCTGCCTGTAACCCCTCTGGCACACAGCCCGTCAGTCCTTCACCTAACCACTTGTATGCCACAAGCATCTAGAGACGCAAGCAGCAGAACTTTTTAAATTCAAAATAAGGTGGCGGTTAACTGGTTGATCTTATTTGTATCACACACCCCACCTTGCAGAGGATTGACTTTTTTCTTGTGGCTATTCCATCTCCTCCTTTTCATAGACTCTTAGTGCTGGGCAGCCCTCAGAGGTCATCTAGTCATCTCCCTCCTCCCCGAGCACAGGGTGGATGTGGGGTTGGCTCGGGAGGACCAGATGAGGGTGCAGCCCTGACCAGTTTTCCCTCCACCACAGGGGAGCGGTCAGCTGAGGGTGACAGGTTCACCCACCGGCGGGACCTGGCCCTGCTGCAGCGGGCGGACTGAGTGCCCCTCCTCGCTGCGGGCTCCTCTGGGCTCTTCCCTTCCGAGCGTGCCGGCCTCCCCCCACCACTCACTGCCACCTTCCTCTTACAAGCCGGGATGTTGAGCCTGTCTCACTGTCCTTCCCAGTGATTGTGGCGGAAGTGACCCAGCCGTCCTTGGGGTCGGCTATGAGGTGGGCCGGGCCGTGGCCCTCAGTAAGCGAATCCTGTGCCTGTTCCCCGGTCTGGCCTAGGTCAGCACGCCAGGCCCTGGGTGGCCCCCCCTCCTCCCCAGCTGAGGACCCAGCCCTCAGCTCCCTTTCCTGGGGGGCTGAGCAGTGCTATCCCCAACGAGGGCTGGGGGAGAGGACGGAGGAGGGGGTGTGGGCGGCACCTCCACTGCCCCTGCCCGCCCAGTGCCGTCAGCCATGACCCGGGAGCAGCGGACGGCCACGGTTCCAGGTGTGGGACTACGAGGTGGGCGGGGTGGAGGTCATGCTGGATCGATACTCTGCCACGTGTCCTCCGAGCAGCTGGCTTCCTCCCGACCCAGCCATGTGACTTCACCCTTCACTAAATTCTTCCGATCCCTTCCTGCAAAGCCCAGCATCACGTTAAAAGGCATGTCTGCACTTCCAACTTCCGTCTGTGTGCGGGGCAGGGCGGGCAGGGCCTCAGCGGTGTGTCGTCGTCCCCCCACCCCCCACCCCGCCGCCTTCACTCCGAGATGCAGAGAAAACCTGTGAAGCCTGCGGCCCCGAGAGGAGGGCACTGCCTAAGGCCGCGGCCCCTCCGGGAACATGAGGAGTCCCGAGGAAGGCACCCACGGGGATGGCCGTCCCGTCTCCTCGATGCGGGCCGGGGTCGGGGGCAGTGGGCACGGCTGTGCCACATGGACCTTCCCTTCCTTCACCAGCACAGGCCACACGTCAGCTCTGGGGCGTCGCTGACAAGGGACGAGTCTGGCGCCTAAAGAAAACTGGAGGAGGAGGGCGGGTGGGCAGCGGGGAGCTAGAACGCCGGCTCCAGAGGTATATGAAAAAGTTTATTCTGTAAACAGAGGTGCTGCTGACCCGGGACCGTGGTCGGGGATGAGCCCCGGCCCCCGGCTCTGGGGCTCCCTGCAGCCTGCCCCTCAGTCAAAGCTCTCGTCCTCATCCTCGTCCCCGAAGAAGAAGGCGTCCCGGTCCAGGTTCTCGGACTCCTCGTCGTAGGAGAAGGTGTCATTGTCCAGCTCCTCGTCAAACTCGTCCTGCTGCCACTCCGGCATGTCGTCGTCGCCCTCCTCGTCCGTCTCCAGCCCCGAGGAGGCCCGGGGCCTGGTGGGGCGGAAGGCAATCCATAGGGAGGGCCGCTCAGCCCAGGAGCCTGCCACATCCCTCCCTCCGGGCGCAGCCGCACTCACCCACTGGGCACGTTGGGCCCTTTCGCCTTCCGGGCCTCTAGTGACGGGCTCTGGAGACCAACCCGGAAGTCCTGGCGGAGACGGAGGACATGGGAGTAGGAAACGGAGGCCACTGGGCCTCTGCCCAGCCTTTCTCCAGCCAACGCGCTCCGAGGGGCTTCTAGGTGCCATGCCCCTGGCGGGCTGTTCCCACCTGCTCCCCCTCCGTCACCACAGCGCCAGAGGGGTCTCCAGGGACACGGGACACAGGCCAGGCACTGGCCTTGCTTCAGGAGCGCAGTGTATGCTCATGTCTTTCCTACTCGTGACCTGTCGGTCTGTACGCTCCGAGGGTGGGACTCCTAGTCAGACTCAATGCCAGCGCATTACAGCTGGAAAGACTCAGCTCCCTTACTCAGTGGGCCCACCCGCTGACCCCCACTCCTGGGATTCTGAATCCACATCTGGGAAGTATGTCTGAAAAAGTTCCCCAACTGATCCTGCAGAGCAAGGATCTGGGCTAACTCCTTTATTTTGTAAGAAATGCCAGAGGTTAAGTGTCAGGGTCCAATAGCACCCAGGAGCTGGGACACCCCCCCCCCCCCCCCGCCCTGGTCTCCTTCTGGGGCTGGGCACGGAGGTCCGGGTGGGGCGCCTACCTGGGTGGAATGCTGCAGGATGGCGAGCAGCCTCTCCTGGATCCGCCGGAGCAGCTCCAGGCCCGTGTGCAGGCAGTCGGCCCGCAGGAGGCGCAGGGCCGAGGCCAGGTCTCCGCACTGCAGCAGCAGCTCCTCTGCAGAGACAGGCGCAGGGGCTCCACCCTCTTCCCTCCCTCCGTCCCCTGCGCCAGCAAACCCTACTGTACACCCACCCGTTCTCCAACCCCCCAGGCCCCACTCTAGACCCCATTCTCCGGAGGCTTACACTCTAGTGGTGGGGACAGATCACCCTATACAATAAAGAGGTAATATGCAAATTAACCCTCACGCCCTAATTAGATGGCTACCTATGACCGGGCCGGCAGAGGGGGTTAGTGAGGGACAACCAAACGACTGAACAGCAGGCTGCGTGGGGGACAGGCTGGCAGGTGGGGGGCTGTGTGGGGCAACCAGGCCAGCAGGTGGGGGGCCATGAGGGGTGACCAAGCTGGCAGGGGGCAGTTGGGGGCAACCAGGCCAGCAAGGGGAGAGGCAGCTAAGGGCAGCCAGGCCGGTGGGGTGGAGGTCAGTTAGGTGTGGAGGGTGCAGTTGGGGGCGACCAGGCCAGCAGAGCGGACAGTTGGGGGTGATTAGGCTGGCAGTGGGGGCAGTAAGGGGCAACTTGGCTATGGGGAGGGGGGGAGACAGTTGGGGGCGATCTGGCTGGCAGTGGGGGGCTGTTAGGGGCGACCAGGATGGCAGGGGGGGCAGTTTGGGACAATAAGGCAGGCACGCAGAGGCAGTGAGGGGCAATCAGGCTGGCAGGGTGGGGGTCACTTAGGGGCAACCAGGCAGGCAGGCAGGTGAGCGATTAGGAACCAGCGGTCCAGGATTGTGAGAGGGATGTCCTGGATTGGAGAGTGTCAGGCTGGGCGGAGGAGACCACCCCCCATCCCCGAGCATGAATTTCATGCTCCGGGCCTTTAGTAATCAAAGGCCAGGTAACCTGTGCCCTTAGGCACTTACAGCTGGTACTGAATGCCTGTCCAGCAGAATTCTAAGGGCCTGTGGTGGTGAGGCCATGAGGAACAAGGAAGAGGAGAGTGAAGGGGGGAAGCTGGGGTGGGGGTGCTCAGAGAGGGGGGCAGGCCTCACCCAGGAGGATCTGCAGGGCGTTGGTGTGCAGCTCCAGGTTCTCGGTCTGCTGCTCCACCACGTCCATCTGCTCCGTTTCCTGGTTGTAGAAGCTGTACACGCACGCATAGGCCAGCACCTACGGGGGCCCAAATCAGGCCTCCCAGCTGCTCCCTCCTCCTCCCTCCATCCGTACTGGTCAGAGACAGCTGCCCAGCCCAACAGTCCCCTTGGCACATTGCTCACCACCCGCCCCCCCAACCTTTCGAGCCTGCTCAAGGCCGCGGCAGGCATCGCTGAGGAAGGTGAAGGACTTGGGTGGGGGTACTTCGTGGATGGCAGACACTCGGTTCCACAAGTTCACAGCAAACTCCTGTGCAAAGAAAGGCGGTCACGATGCACACACACCCCTTCAGAACAGCACCCAGCGATTCGGCCCTCGGCCCTCCCCGCTCCTCACCCGGGCCTGGTGGTGGAACGTGCACCTCTCGTTGTAGTCCTGGAAGCGCTTCTCCTGGCGAGCTGCCTTGCTCACCTGTGAGACACATCAAACAGCATGGCTCGTCAGACGCTACCACTCAGAGGCCTTTTCTGCCTTGCCCAAACTTAATCCTCAGACTGAGGCAGGTCACATTATCACCCCCTTTTACAGGTGAGAAGGCTGAAGAGTGGACAAGGAACTGACCCAAAGCCACATATTAACTGGGAGAACCAGGTTCTGACTCAGTCCTGCTCTCCGCTCTGCCCTGCTGCCCCGAGAATGCCCAGCCCGCCCAGCCCTCTGAGGCCGCCGGGGTGTGCGAGTCCCACTCTGCGCCTCCGTCCCCGTGCACGGACCTCCCGGCACTGCAGGTCTAGGTGGCTCTGTCCCCCCGCCACTGAGCCACTGTCCCAACACTGTCAGGCTGCTCTTCACAGAGCCCCGCGGGCCTCTGGGCCTCTGCTCCTCGGCGCCCCGCCCTTACCATGGCAGAGCAGTTGTAATAGTCTTTGTGATTTGGCTTCCAGGACTTGAGGCAGCGCCAGCAGAATCCGTGGTTGCATTTGGCACAGGTCATGCTGTGGAGGAAGCTGTCTGGTCAGAGGACTCCTGCCTCTGGCAGGGCCACACCAGGAAAGCCAGGGGCCTAGAGGCACCACCACCGTGTCCCTGGCCCCTCCACCCTAACCTTACCAGTTCCTACTGAAAGCACCCTTGCTTCTGAGTCCCCCGTACACTGGAGACTAAAAACGGGGGGACCTGAGGTGAGGGAACCACTCTGGAGGGTGCCCAGAGAGGGAAGTGGAGTAACTGCCCTTGTCGCTCAGCTTTCCAGGAGGCCCACCACCCCTTACACTGCCAGGCCTCTACTCTCGCCTGTGCCTGCCGACGCCCCCGGAGCCCACAGCACCCTTCTTACTGCAGACACCCTTCGTTCTTCTCGATGGGAGTCTGACAGCTGGGACAGCGCTTAGAGATGAGCTTGGCCAGGTGCTTGCTCTGGGCCTCCACACTCATGCCGTCATAGTAGCCGCCATCATCGACCCACTGAGACATGTGGCCACAGCTGGCAGGGTAGTGTGCCTGGAGCAGGAGGGAAGGGGAGGACACAGCCCAGCCCTCCTTACTGAGGGCGGCCCTCCTGCTATTGCTCATGGGAGGCGGAAGGAGGGAGGTCTCATTTGGAGGTGACAGGATCTGCATGTGCTGAGGGGTAGCGGTGGGTCCTGGCTCGGCATCAGGCCGGGGTGGCACCCACCTCAGGGAAGCTGCAGTTGAAGCAGGAGGCCCAGCCGCACTTGGAGCAGGTGGTCCCCGAGCCCAGGCCCTGGCGGCACAGGATGCGGTCGCAGCCCTGGGGGTTGGTGCACCACGTCAGGTTGGAGCAGCTGTCCACGTAGCCACGCAGCAGGGCCTTCTCATACTGTGGGTGCAGAGGGGTCACGGGTGAGGGCCCGGCTCTCTAGGCTGCCACACCTGCAGGCCCCCAGCACCCCGGGGTCTGCCCCTCTGGCTTGCACCGGAGCCTCTCTGAGGAGAGGGTACCTTGGAGATGACCTCTGGCGAGGAGACAATGGCACGGATGAAGGCTCCCGTGGGCTGGGCAGGGCAGTCGGCGATGGGGCAGGTGCAGTTCATCACCAGGTTCTGCTCGATTCGAGTTGTCAGGTACTCGTTCCAGCAAGACTGGGAGGGAAGGAGAGGCCGCTCAGGGAAGCGCGGGAGCAGCCCGGGAGGGTGTCCTGTCATCACCGCGCACCGCTCCCCGATGACGCCGAAGGATCAACCTCAAAACGGACCCTCATCTTTCTGGCTCCCACTGATTTTCCTGGGATTGGTCCAAGTTACAGTTGTCTTTGAGGATATGTGGGCCAGGATGGCAGCCTAATTATTATTGTTGGGATGGACATAGAGGGAGCAGGTAAAGAGAATTAAAATAAGAAAGATTCAGGTGCTAAGAATTGGCGAGAGCAAGAAGGTGAGAGGAAGAAGGCCAGGGAGGCGAGTCCCTTCTCCACTGGCGCCCTCTCCTCCTGGCCCCTGTGCTCACCTCATGCCTGTCTGGAGGCTCGTCACAAACAGACGTGCCCACTGCAGCTCCCACACCCT